CAGGAGTCAATTTATACTGCAAGAGAATAATGATGTACCTCAACTCATTTTAATTTCAATAATTGAATGAGAAATAGGAAAGCCTATTGAAAGGACTGTATTCTGGTCAAAGACTAATGAGAAAACAGTTTTGAGTCTCTGAGTCAGCGGGTGTCATGGTAACAATGCATTATCGAAATCTGATTAGCATGCCCAGCAGCTTTATAAATGATAACATGCTTTTCTAATTGTATTTCCCTTTCTTTCCCTGTGATGAATTTTATATTCATAACAGGTAAGAGGTAAGGTAGCATGCTGTTTATCTGCAAGTTAGATTTAGGATGTCCAGCATGCTCACAAACTCTGTGCAACCTGTCATTCAGTAATCGAAAAATTTTCCTACCATCTTAAAATGAGAAGCTGAGCCTTCCATTTCTCTCCTCCTGTATTACATGTAAGTGAAATATTATTCTCTTCTTTTAAATATATAAAATTATTTCTAAGAATATACACATGAAAAAGAGAACATTATGAAAAGCAAGCATCTTAAGAAAAAGCCTATGTTCCATAGGCGAAAGAGATGCAAGAAAAGACTAAGTGCATGTTTAATTCATCCCAGAAAGCATGACTCCATTCTTGAGGTTTTGAAAAGAGGGAGGGGATTTTCTCGTGTTAAGAAGATTGTGTGTGCGTTTCTTAACTCATCACAGTATCAAAAATCAGAAGGAACCATGAAATTAAATAGGATATTTTTCCTGCTCATGAAGGAAAGAGCTAATATTGCTTCATAAAATAAATACAATGAAAATACAAGGTTAGAGGTTTAACAAAGCTCTTTTTACAAGTGAACCTCAGGTGAGTAGCCTGGCAGACCATTATTATATTAACAGTAAAGACCTCTATCACAACTGCAGCCTCACAAATCTGATGAAAAATCATTTTACATATAGAGGGCTCAGTCTTAACAAATGGATTTGGGGTTTGTTTTTTTTTTTTAAGAGTAAAATGGCATTCTATTTCTCAACAGAATGACCAAGAAATCTACTTCATGTTTGGCCTATTTCCATGACCCTTGTAACCTAAATATTTATTTCTTATTTTCAATGTTCACTTTCATTTATTAATTCAGCTTCAAATCTGTATAAAGAGAAAGGAGAAAAGCTCATATTCTTATTCGCTAGGTAAACTCAAATACTCTTAGTCATATGACAAATAGTACCTAATACAAGAAATCAACTTTTCTGTATTATTAATAATGGAACCGTGTTTGTTATAGTGCATGAACACGGAGAAAATGAATACAGCGAGACCTAAAAAGCTTATTACTCCCTGTTACGTGCACTGGCACGTGGACAAAGTTTAAGATGTACAAAATACTAAAAGCAATCAATCTTAAGTCAACACACTGAAAGCCAGAGGAACATTTATCTCCATGTTTGGAAATTCAGCAGAGAGCGCAGGGATACACTGAGAATAGAAAGTCATCAAAGCAGGCCAGTGAACAAAGAAAAAGCAAACAAGTACTCCTCAGCAAGGATTAGCGCTAGTTCAGGGGACTGTTTGCACTAACCTTGGATGGAAGTAGCAGCCCGAAAGCCAATCAGTGTGACCTTCACCTGTCATGATGATGTCCCCATCAGGTAAAGCCCACATTTTCCAGAGGTGGTCATCACTGCCAGTGACTACCATGTCTTTTTGGGGATGTAAAGCCAAACTACAACAGAAAAGAAAGGCAGATTATATTCTGTATCAATTCCATTTTATGTGAAATACACAGCAGTGAGCTTCGTTTAACCCAGGGCAACAGCTACAAAGGACTCCAATTCTGGATGGACTGAACAAGCAGTGATGCTTTCGAAGCTCATGTTTGAAAATACATGCTACGTAGATGACTTTCTCCTGCTGCTGAAGAAAACAGCAAAACATGACTGACTTCTGTGAAACCAGAATCGTTTTCACACTCTCTCGACATTTCAATTGATTAAAACACTCTAGTATGTTTTAAAGTACTTTGTTAGATTATGTTTTTACAAACATGCAACAGGGTAACATATAAACAAGCCATACCAATGTGAATTGCTTTTTCCCACACCCAAACCTCAAAAGCACTGGCTTGTCAGCCTGCTGCTGCTGGCCAAAGGGAAATGGGACAAAAGGACAAAAGGACTCCCTGCCTTTTGTTGTTGGGAGTTTTTTGGGGGGGTTTTTTGTTTGTTTGTTTTAACTTGTGCCCACAGGTCTAAAGTCTCCTACCACTGAGAAATAACTCAAATGATAATTAGAGTCCAAGAGCTACAGTCTTTGCCATCACTTTAGAACCTATTCGCCAGAACTAGGTCAGAAAATCCATTTCAATTCTATACTCAAAAGCCTGTTACATGTTTTCATTTTTTATTATGTAGCACACTGGGATGTGATGGAAATCATACACTTATCAAACCCCTATACTGAAAACTCAGTTTATTTTTGATTTGGCAACTGCAGCACAGCTTAAAATGGATCCAGGGAAGAAAATAAATTTGTTGGAAAGATAACAAGTAGTGTATTTCATACGGATTTGGTTATTTGATTTAAATTATTGTAATGCTTTACTATTTGTTGAACATCAAAAAGTATCTAGAAGTTGACTTAAGTCCCAGGAGTAGATTATTTAAATAGATTAAATCTGGAGTTCAGAACCAAAATGCAACAATGGGGAGAGGAATCATAGCCTGTGCGCGCACTTATTTCAGTTGTGCATCAGAGCTGACAGTTTACAGAGAAAATCACCTATTAAAACAGAATGAGAGTAGAGAGGGACGATGCTAAGCAGCCAAATGGGAAGAAAAGAGAGGTCTTAGAAGGCGCACTATTATAAAAATATCTTTCTAAATAGTACCTTTCTCCTGCACTCAAATGATTTCATAAAATTCCTAAATCAGAACCACAGCTTCTACTATATTGGAAAAATAATTCCCTCTAGCAAATTTGTGCTAAAAACACATTTATGTCAACCAGATTTTCAACAGAAAACACATCTATTCTTGCAGTTTAAGGCACAGTCTAGGAAGATTCCTACAAATTCATCAGTTCAATTCATCTGCTCGACCAAGGAGCCTGGGTTTTACTTATTCTCTAGTTTCTTAGAGAGGAAAAAAAATTTTTTTTATCTTTGCCTAAAGAAAAGCTTCCTCTGCATTTATAGGGAGAAAAGAGACTGAGGGAATGATACTATTTAAATTCTCCAGAGATGCGCAGAGAGCAACTGTGTCACTTAGATTGGCCACAACAGATATCTTGAAGAGCAGGGAGGGAATAGAGATAAAAGGAGGGAATTAAAGGCTGAAAGAAGACACGCCAGTGGCCTGCAAATTACAGGATGAGAACAACTGTCCCAGAATCCCTCTGCTATCAGAAACCTCTGACACACCAAAAATCCCAGTGCTGTTTTCTGCAGCATGCATAGGCACGTAGCATTGTTATTCTTGGGACTGCTAAAAAGGAGACCAGCTTCACTGAAAAATCAGTGGGCTAATAACTATAAAGATAAATCCGTCAGGGCTGTACGCAGCCTCTAAAGCAGAGAATCCTCCTCACCGGCATGCACCTGGCTGTGCACAGAAGCGAGACTGGCACAGGAGTATCTTTCACCTGCTAGCAACAAGGACCTAAGATCCTCTGGGTGTAGCAAGGGAAGAGCAAGGGAAAAAGAAACAGAAGTAGATTTAGGAAGACTAGAGAGGGAGAAGAGAATGCCCGCTGCAAAACCACTTGACAGCATGTGCTACTGCAGGAAGCTTGATCAACAATTCAGGCCTGTCTATGATGCAATTAAAAGACTGGATTATCCTATTGTGGGAACAACATGGAGAAAACAAACAAGCTAACAGTGTCATATCAATACACCTTACATTTTTCTCTTCATCTACTTCAGAAACCCTCCAGTTCTTCCCTCCAGATATTCCTGCTATTAGTCGAGTGCATGCCTGTTGTGAAGACTTTCCATCAGTTCTCTCTCTTACATTCTTCCTAAATATCTGCCTTTTCAGACCCCAAGATCTGTTACACAGTCTAACTTAAATCGCCTCCACTCCATCTTTCACTCACTAATCCACAGGCTTCCTCCAGATCCCAGCTCGCTTTCTGATCAGTCCTGACCCACTGGCTTGGCTGCAGCTGCCTATGGATGTGAGCTGCGCTGTCCTTCATCCTGCCTCAGCTCCCAGGAACATTTTTCTTGTCCTTAGCTCTCCCAACACACTTCCAGTCCAACTTTTGAAATGCCCAAACTTCTTTAGCGACTAGACATGCCTAAAGAGCTTTGAGACAATCCATAAAGTGCATTTCATATGGAAGAAAACATCTTGCCATCAGTATGAAGCAGCAAGCTTATTTTTCACAGGCTTTTCTTTTAATTGCAGAGCTCTTGTAAAATGCTGCTGCTGTCCAACTTTTTTTTTTTCATCCATGCCATTTTTACAGGCACACGGTGAACACTATTTAATTAACGGCAAATTTGTGACATAACCACTGTTGAGCTGCTTCTGAGAAAGGGAAGCCCATTCATCCAAAAGGCATTCTATATGCAACATTAATTAGGCACCCTTGTCTTCATTTCTGGCAATCCAGCATTGTATAGATTTTTGCTTCATCTCTGTTCACAGGGTCTAATTATTTCCAGCACAGAAGACTTTGGGTAGATTGGAATGGAAATCAATAATGGAACATGTGTGATAGGAACATTCGTTTTCTCCTCCTCCTCCTTTGGGATAGAAGTGGGATCAGAGGAGACTCAGCCAAGGGAAAAAAAAAAACCCAACACAAAAACCACCAACAAAAAAAGCTCTCAGATTTGCTGCTGTTGAGTATATAAATACCCATGTTTCCACAACTCATTCTGGCATTATAAGACATTCTCATCTCTTCAGCACTTGCCATGGTAGATATATAGTGTTCCCAGTGATTTGCTTTCAAAACAATCATCGATTATTTAAATTTATTTTGACTGAACCATAAATAAAAATATGGTATCTTCAGATGCAAAATACTTTCAGTCTCAGCATGTACTACATTTGATCATTTCACACATACAAAAATCAACCTTCAGGTTAAGAAATGTTAAATCCAAAGCCGCCTGCGTAACCTTAACTGTGCATTTGTTTTAATGTAAACACTAAGGTGCTGAGGCAGGGGAGAGTTTGGTTACATGTGAAGGAAAACTTTCTGGCAATGAGGTTTCTGAAACACTGGAACCGATAGCCATCTGCCATCATTAACCTGTTCTTAAAGCTCTCAGTACACCCATGACCTATTACCTAGGTAGACTGCTTCCATCATGGTATAGGAGAACAGTCTGGTTGGTGTCTTGAGGTTCTTTCAAGTCCTAAGGTCGCAATGTTCCTCCCGAAACCCCGTTCATTCGATGCACAAAACAGACAGTGCTTATATGTGAAGACCAATTATAAAACAATAAAAGCATCACCCCAAACCTCTGCTAAGGCATAACAGCAGTTAAATGCAATTGCACAGATGCAGGACAATAAGGCATACAAAACCACCTAGAATTTTAAAATTATTTTAGTGGCTAAATATCTCACATCACCACATATTCAGCCTTTTTTTACCAGCTTCCTACAGATCTCAGGAGACTGCAGGAATAGGAGTCATCCAGAAATAAAAACCTAACCTAAACAGTCTCAAAATTGGGCACTCCTGGAATGAAGAAAGCAAAATTAATGACCAAATTAGTACTCTAAGTGACTTATCCAGCCTCACCCAATTGCTCTGTGGTAGAAATAAGGACAAAAGTCAGTTTTCTATGGTTTCACATATAGGAGTTACACAGAAAAGTATGTTCTCAATATAGACAGCATTTAGCCGCCAAATTCTAATATAGCATTGTCCTGAATATCACCTGCAATATGTAATTTTTAGAATTTCATGATTTGATCAAATTTATTTGCATTCCCGGATTCTGGCAAAGAGGATTGTTGTTAACGCCAGTAGCTGCTTTCAGACCACAAAGCTCTTCTGCTGCATTTCTTGCTCCAAAATATGAGAATAGCAGAGTTCTTCGAAGATTAAAAGAAAAACCACAAAAACTTAGAAGCCAAAAAAACCCCCCCACACATTTTTCTTGGTCACAGAAACATTTTAGCTAATATGTTCTTACACAGATTCAGCCGTACTCACAATACTTATCACAGGAAACTTCGGTCTGAGCAGTTACATTTGGGTGAAGTTTTAAACAGTTGAAAAACTCTGTTTTAGAATGGAAACTGTGGGGAAATTGTAGGTATTTCTTCCTCTACCATCAGGTTCTCTAGGTGTGCTGGAATGGAAGAGCAGAGCGGGTTTTGAAGGCAAGGACGTAACACGCACTGAATTCTAGAGGATGGCTACTGGCCTCAAACAAAAACAAGTATGCACCTCAATATGAGGACATCAGCAGCCCTACTGAAATCAGTGATATTGTTCACATACTTGATTACACTGCTGGACTGTGTCCTAAAAATCTAAAGAATTTTTAAAAGCCGAAATACTATTCTAGTCCCAATTTTGCTAGCCAGTTGCACCGAGACCCAAGACGAGTTAACCAAATCATTAAAAACAGTTTCTGCAGCAATGGACGGGCAGATTGCGCGACCTAACCACATTTCTCAACCTCCTGCGTTCACAAGAGCTTTTGAGGCAACACAGCCACCACACCACCCAGTTAGGTCCCAGGTGCAGCTG